GGTTATTTTTTAATCAAATTTCCAACAAATTAGCATAAAGAAAATGGTTAATTAGGAACAAAAAGAATAATTTTGTCATTCTTAACGCTCTCATCCTTAGAGATTTGCGAAAAGATTAAATAATACACATAATCCTCTTTAAAATTCAATAAGATTATCTCACAAAGTTCTCCAAAGCTGAAAGCTTAAATTCAACATTCTGGGAAATACGTTTAAATGTCATTTTACTTTCAAATCAACCTGGTCAGACCTGTGAAAAAATTAAGAATTGTTGTATTGTATTGAAAGTTACAAGGAATATATAAATCTCTCTATTTAAAAAAAAACCTGTCGTATTATCATGTATGAGCCACAATTCAGCGAAAAATAAACAGGAAAGGGCTTCTCTGCTGCTCCAAAGGCATCTAATGTAGCGTTATCCTCCAAAACATGTCTACTTGAGTTGGATTTTCCGTTCAGGTTATTGAAAGTCTGGATATAAAAAAGTAGTCAAGTAAAATAGCAGTTAAGAATTGGCCAGCAGAACATTGCTGTACTGGTGCTAGACTGGATCTACTGAAGAGTTTCTGAAGGCCCCGAGCATTACCGGGTCGCCTCACAACCACCAATGGCGGTGGAAAATGGCTGCTGCAATCCTACACCAACATTACTGTTCCGCCCAAACATTTGTGGTCAGCTGGGGCAAGATCTGACTGAGAAAATAAACTGTGCAACGGAAATAAAATCTGTTCTGCGTGATTCCAATGATAGCAAACTGTGAAAGGCGTAATACGGTCTCCAGTCAACAGATATTGCAGTTAATGTTTTAAAGCTTTTGAGGAGCCATTGGCCTCTACTGAGTCAATAACCGGTTGTATCCTGCAGACTTTCGGGCAGATGAGAGCTTGGTATTGAACCTCTAAACAAAGTTAGCCAATTAAAACCTCATCGGAAAACATATGACTTTATTTTCCCAAAATGCTGAACAGATTCTCTCAGCCCTCAACCTTTTGGACACATCAGCTTCAGCAAAAATTTGTGTGTAAAAAAAGAAGGGAAAATTATTTTATACAAAAAAAGAAAGAACAAAAAAGGAAAACCACACTGATAAAAGCTCAAATATCTTTTCAGCTCTGACAGATCTGCAAAATCTGCATTAAAAGTTTTTTTTTCAAATAATTTCAAACATATTGTCTTTGACATACGGCCTTTGAAAGTAAAACTTTTAAGTTCTTCATTTTGGTTAGAAACTTCTGCTGATAAAATAATGCCTTCTTTCACCTTCTGCTGAGAGACAGCTGGTATGTTCAGATCAACAGAACCAGCCTTTTGTTTCCTGTTTTTATTAACGTGGAAGATACTTTTACCATGTTCTGTTTCGGCCTATGTCTACATAATTCAAAAGTTAAGACAAGTGGGAATTTGAACAAAAACTAATAATGTGATCTCTTGGTGATTTCCTGCACTAAACGAGACATCAAATGAATCAGTAGTTACATTTATTGGATTTTATATATATATATAACTAATAATACTATTCTTATTATTACTTTTTTGTGTACTTTGTTCATAATCGACATTAACAAGCTTTCTGTTACACAAATAAGCCCACCTACATATAGTGATTTCGTCTAACAAGTGCCAACTGTAATACTGCAGTCATTTGCAAAATTGATTTGTAATCTCTTCAGTTAGTTTTGTAGAAAATAATGACAATAATGAAAAATTTCTTCATATTTTCATATGAACATTTTCTTTGAATGTCAAATATGCAATACACCCATTAATACAAAATCTACTGATTTACATGGTAGCGTTACAATGTCTTCTCGAGCTAAAATTGTAGTCTGCACCAAGAAGGGGCAAGCAGTATCTCCAGGCTACAGAACTTCTGATTATCATAAGCTGTAAAATTGACTGACAAAGGCCATTACCATGAAGTCCAAAAAGAGAATTGTATATATTTGGTAAGTTGAAACAGAGATTGGCACTCCTTGTTTGAGTGCAAACCTATTCTTTCTTTAACCTTAAGTGAATCGTATCACGTGATTAAAAAAATTGAAAGATAAAATACTTACAAATTCAAAACAACAGTCTGAATATTTAAGAAACATGTTCACTTGATCATAAAATACTTCAGATCTAACATATCAATAGCTAGCCCAGCAAACTGAGGTAAACTCTCTGGCTGTGTGCAGCCAAACAAGTGTCTTCTTTCTGTGTAACACAGCTGTCAAAAAACATTACCTTAAAACTAAGGTGTGAAAATCTTTGTAAAAGCCGAAAAAGTGGATTTAGATTTTTGTAAATGATGCTTTAAGAAACGACAAGCCACTTCATGTCTGATTTGCTGAAATTGCTGCAAGACACTGGGGCGACAAGAGGCAATTTAATAAACAAACAGCTGCATGGAGAGACAGAGGGACTGAGAGGAGGTAAGGAGCTTGTGGAGAAATAGCTAAAATGAAACAAATGAGGTAGGCTTTTGCTGTAAACTAAAAAACTGGAAAAGAAAAAAAATGTTGCAATTAAAAAAAGGTGTTACATTTGAGAAGGAAGACCAAGAAGTCTGTGGCAACCCCAGGTAACGTCTCATACAACCCCTCAGCATATAATACAGACCTAGAGTTAGCAATTCAGCTCATTAAAAAACAAAATAATAATAATGATACAGAGAGAATCAAACAACTATGTATAACTCAAGAGGTAGTTGCTAATAACATTACATGAATTGGTTACATACGACTCCTCACCATTGCTTTACAGAGATTATTAAGTCAGTCAGTCAGTGGATGATTCCCAAAAGAGTAATATACACTTTTTTTTTGGTTAATTCCCTGAGAACATGTAATCATCCTGAGAGGAATTGTGTAAAAATGTAAAAATACATCATACAAAAAGATGTTTCCATAGATATCTGAGCATGAGCTGTGCTCTTTCTGTGGTTTGGTCATTCACTTTGCTTTTTGTCTGTCGTGCTGCATTGTTGAGATTTGATTTTTAACGCACTCGCACATTCAAACAGCTGTACATGAAATAAAAAACTTTTAAAAAACACTATTTTCATTTTCAGAAATAAGCATGTCTTTTTCTGAAAGAGCAAGGATAACAGCACTTTAAATGCCTTCATGAATAAAGCCAAACTCTTTGGTATACAAATATATACCGGAAAAAGTTGGTTGTCTACTTAGAACCTTTTTTTAATAAAAAAAAAAACGAAAAAAAAACTCAAGATATTTTGATATAATCATACAAAGTTATTTGATTTGTCAGGACATTAAGATACAACTCCAAAGCGACCTGACGCCAACTTTGTAAGGAGTCGCTTCGGATGAGCTCTTTTCACATTCAGTATGGTCAGAGAAGAGTTGTTAGGTCTCGAATAAGTGCCACTAAAGACATGCCTGGGATTCAAGTGGAACCAAAAGTGACACGCTCCATCTATCTAGCTCTCCCTCTTTCCTTTCCTTTTTTTTCTCTCTTTTGTTGTGTTTGTTGTTAGTGAGTTTGAAGCAGCAGCATCGCCATCTCATCCCAAAGAGGGGTGGGCATCACCTGACTGGTGCTGGCCTTTAACCGGTAGGCACAGATGGAGGAGGAAAATGAGGTTCACTTGTACTAAAACACAGCTTAGAGAGCAAACACCTTGACATTCACTTCCCAAAGGAAGAACTAGTGAGGTATCGCGTTAGTTGAGCAGCTAAGATGGTATCTGAATGGTCTGACGTTACACCTGTGAGAGGGGTTTTTGTGCAGTGTGAGTACGTGAGCTCACTCATACGAGAAGATGTGGAGTCATCTTTTCTAAGGTGAGAAGTTGATTTGTCTTGAAATAAAACAAGTAACTAGAGGGAGAGTCTTCACACACCAATAAAGTATCCCATGCACGTAAACAGGGCTATGCACCTATGTCAGAGCTAATTTCTTATATATGCATTACATAAAGTTAATAGAATTTCAATTATATCTTGCAACTTTACATATATATTAATGACTATTTTTCAACTAAGTATGCAACAACCAAAAGTGATTTCTAATGATCAGTTCAGTACTTTGAATCTAAACTATGAACTAGATGGGTTATATGACGTCTTACATAAGAAGGGTCAATCTATCATAATAGAAAATGGGTGCTGAGAGCAGTGGTTCGCACCTGAAGAAGAGGTGCTCCAGTCTGACAGTTCTGATTACTTTTCAAGCATGCACAACACACACACAGTGCAGCCTCGCACCTGCTCGCCTTTTGACAATCAGTTGGTCCAGTCTGTCATAGAAGAGGTATGTTTTGAGTGTTTCAAAATTATAGAGAACGTACTCTAGCAGCTTGCTGGCTTTTTAAAGATTCCCCCTTGAATTCATTAAGTTTCCCCTAAAGATCTTTAGAAGCCAAGCTAACAGTCCTACGGGTCTGGATTATCACTTAGAGGGTCTCAAGCTCTTAAGAGTCTTTCTCTAATCCTTCTTAAAATGAGCTGCTATGTGGGCTACGAAGGGGAAATCATGATTACTTGGAATGATTGGGCCTACTGGATACATTTGCGACTAAAATCAGCAACATAAGTAGGGAAAAGGCATTCAAAATGTCCACCACTTTGGTCCAGGGGGGGGGAAGATATGAAGGGGGGGGGGGTGGGGGCGGGGGGATTGGGAGGGTGTTTTCAAACTTGGACTCATACCACGTCGTTTCACCGTTGAGCTGCACAGATTGAACCAGGACACAGTTATTCCCAGCAGTCCCCATTCCAGGGGTGGTTGCCATAGCTGCTTTAGACGACTGCGAGTCAGTCACACATTCACGGACGTCCATATCCCGTTGATCGTTGCCATAGCTGCGCTGGTTTAGAAAAATAACTAAATCAAAGTAAAGAAATAAAGACCTCCCATATTTTTTTTTCACAGGTGTGAGGTAGATGAGGGGGGTGAGGGTGGATTGGGGGGGGCGGGCTTAAGGTAACCGTGACTAGAGGGAGACGGGAGGGCTGAAGGTAGAGCGGTGAAAGCTTCACCTCGGTGGACCGCCTTCAGGATTTCCTCCACCTCTGCGGCCGGGGGCCACGCTGTGTGTGGGGCTCCTCGGGGGAGGAGGAGGAGCCCTCCAGGGGAGAGGAGCTGGAGCGCTCCTCCTCCTCGGGGGGGCAGAGGTAGGGCCCGGTCCCCGGGCCGGAGGCCGAGGTAGACGCGTGTTGATCCTGAGAGCCTGTGGCCAGCGCGGGCGCCTTGTGGGGGCACTGAGCCACCATGTGCGTGATGCTCTGGCAGTAGTGGCATTTCTTTGGCTGGGGGGGCAGGCCACACTCCTTGGCATGGTGATCCAAACCTCCACAGTTATAACAGCTGCAGAACACAGAGGACATGAATGCAACAATACATTAATTTCCCAAATGTACGTCTTGCACTGAAAAGGACACATTTTGTTTAAAATTTCATACAGCCGACAGCATTCATTCTTCTAAAAAAAAACACATATATAAAGGAGTGCGATCGGCTCCGAGTTGGAGTAGCTGCCCAAACTACAGTTCACCACTAGATGGGGATACGACATAGGAGATGGCTCAGGCATGAGTCTTTCCCCAACTCAACACAAAGCAGAAGTGAGAAACACAGACAAAACAGACAAAAGAATCCAGATTGTCTCAATGTCAACAACTGCTTTTGCAAAACATTATTTTTATTCTTTTGTCTTCCCGTCACTGGTCTTCTCTAATAGTTCCTCTATTTTAGAGGAAACATTCCAGTCACCCTGGAAATAGCTGCCAGTGAACAAAAAACATATTGTGGCGTTTTTTTTCTATTAGAAAAGTCTACTTTAAAATAGAAATTTCAGTGTCTCCATGTACAGCAACATCCACCCTACAACAGAAAATAACTCAAATAAAGAAGAAATTAGCCATATTTCATGCTTTTTAAGCAGGAAAATACATTTTGGAAGTTTCCTTTACAATACATTTCTGTAAAAATAAAATAATGGGGACTGAATAAAATCTTGGTAAGAGCAAAGCTTCGGTAGAAGTTGCTGAGATAAATCTTAAAATAAGTCTTTCAGAGAGGGCTTCAAAGATTGTTCAGATCTTTGCAACCTGCATTTAATAAAAAGTACAATTTTTAACAAATAAACTAAGGTGTCTATCTAAACTACAGAACAGTTACCCAACCAAATTTTTCCATTAAATACATATTAAATGTTACACACAATTAAAAAAAATATTAATTTGAGAATTAATTCTTAATGCGGTGACAGTAACTTCAGCTTTCGTTTACAACATTAACATCAAATCATTAATCTGAATTAGTTTAATATCAGATCATTACAGTGAAATAAAAGTGAATAAATACTTATACAGAAATGAAAACTTCAGAGGTATTTCAATTGAATCCATTATGCAAATAATTATTTATATACTTTTGCTACCAAGCACTGGGCAGCAAGACCAAAAGATACATTTTGTATAATTAAAAAAAAATGTTTTGACATGTTTTTTAAATTGTCTTCGTAAACTTCTGACTGGAGGACCTGATAAGGTTATGGTCCTCCTTATAAAGACACAACAGGCTGAAACATTTGTGAATCGTAAGATGCTTAATCGAAAGTGACCGATTTATTCAAAATTACACTGAAAACCGGTTCTTTTTTATAATTACTTTGGCACTGTTTTTTTTTCATTTCTATTAGAGACTACAAGCTGGTAGCGCATCATTGCTTAAAAATCTTTAAGTAACCTTTTTTTTCCCCAACAGGTCGAGACGGATTTTCGTTTTTTAAAGAAAATATAACGCCCTCCAGATGATTGTTGATAGACATTTTTACGGAGTAATGCCCGCCGATCCGGTTGGGCTGCGCGGCGAACAGGCCAGCAGAGGGCAGAGCAGCCCCGCCGCCACACACGCAGACACAGAGCGCCTCACAAAGACGGGTGACATCACAGGCATCCACCTGCCCAGTCTGAATCCAACACCTTGCTACCACCTTGGTTGAAGTTAGACACTTGACCTAACATCGGATCAATTATCCCAAATAAACTGAATTATTCAGCCGTGTAAAACAATAAGGAAGGCTTCTCTCTCAGGTAACGTTTCCCTGTTTCCAACAAAAGCTTTTATTTTCACATTTTGACATGTGATGTGACGCATTCTTATTGCGGCACTTGCCTGCCAGGATTAGTTTAGTGCGACGTCTAATGAAGGCAATCGTAGCCCTCTCTGGTTTAACCACCAGGTGTTTTCCAGGAGCTCCATATGACTGCTTCTGACATATTTTAGCAGAACACCCTTCAGGGTTTTACTGAGGACAAAACACTTGACGGAGCCACTGCGGCATTCAGATGCTTATAAGTCCAATCTACCACTCTCTGTGATGTAAAAGCTGGCAAATTGATTTAAAATAGCAGCAACAGCAGGCAAAGTGCCCTATTCAATTTCATATTATGGTGCACAATAACCATGGCAACAGACATGTACTCAGTCAGATTGAATAGATTTAATCTATAATCTCAGACCATTTAGAAATAGCTCAAATGCTGTGCGGTGAGATGTATAGAGATGATATGCTCTCCTTTCCTGAATTCAGGCTGAAACATTCTCATACACATTCAGACTGTGTTAACTGATCTGTATGCTTTAAGATGCCTGCACCAAATTGTATATATTTAACCACCGTATTTCTATGTAGAAATCTAAGTAACACTCACCGGTCTCCCTTTGGTTTGCGTTTCTGGAGTGGGACCTTCCCTTTAGGTCTCCTCTCGCTGCCTGCACAGGGTCCTCCACCAGGTCCGGTCACCCGCAAAGACTCCAGGCCCTTGGAAGATTTCTTATAGGTGAACTCCACCTGCTCACCCTCCTTCAAGCTGCGGAAACCCTCCATCACCAATTTGCTCTGTTGGAAGTAAATAAAAATAAAAATAAAATAAAAAACAATTATCCATTTAAACTAGCAAATAGATTTTTGCAGCACAACACAATAAACTGCAAAAACTAAATCCAATTATGGGCCCGGTGTGCCACAGGCTAATGTTATGGTTGAAGTCGGTGATGATTTAATCAAAATATAAATAGATAAGTAAAAAACAGAATCACTGAATTCAACAATCCTTGACATCCATGTGCTGTTCAATTATGTTGGATAATTCAGCTGTCCATAAAGTGCAATTTAAAATGGATTTAAATCCAACGGGACCATGACGAGGTTTACCTTTGCTGATTCTATCAACAGAAATAAGAGTTTACCTTTTATAGGTCTCAGTGTCAAAATTAAGAGGAAAGGTGACTGCTGTCTTGTAAAGAAAAAAAACAACAGCTCAATAGTTAAAAAAAAAAAGAAAGCAAAAAATGAAGTTTCACCTTCCATCCACATAACATAAACCTCCAGTCAGCGCCCATTGGGGTGAATTTAACACGTAATTGCAGATCAGATAGCAGATCTGAGAGCAAACAGCTCCCCAACCACCACTTTCCCTTCCCGGGTAACTTCAACAGCACGATTACGAACACGCTGAGGTTTGCTGTGGGAGGCTCGTTCGCGCTGCAGCATGCACCAAACTCGCATCCTGAAACACTCGACGACAGAAAGCCTTTACTTACGAACGGGACGCGTGGATGTGGTTTCCACAACCTGCCCCGACGGTTTGTACACAGAGAGAGTTATCGCACAAAGTGTCCTTGGTATCTTCGCTTTATCTACTTTTGCAGAGACACCACTTCCTATTGTCTCGGCAGGGCCAAAAGAAAAGAGTGCTGCAGCTATGCAATCATATTCCTCCAACACATCCACCATCCATCTTATCTACATGATCGGTTTTATTGATTTGGTTACTATAAACCACTGGACAATGATTTATGTCTCGTTCGTGGCAACAGAACACACTGCTGTTGGGCACAGCATCCGTGACCTTCGTGAATGGCAGCGAGCCCAGCAGATTTCAATATAGGTAAATTCAGGCCCACGCGCTTTGGCTGAGCAAACCGACAACTCTATACAACTATACATCAAGATCTATAAATAACACACTCGCTACCTGTAAAAGCCAAGCCTGCTGGAGAGACAGATGTGTGGGAGAAGAAAAAAGAAATCACACAAGTAAATCAAAGTTGAAACTATCGAAATAAGACATAGAATGCGCCCTGCAAGCAGTTTTTTTTTTCTTGGGAATCTGCAGAAGCTACAGGAGGCTAAAGGTGCTCTATAGGAGCTTTGTCAACAAAAAAGCCAGAAGGGAGAAAAAAGACCTCAGCAGTGAGGAGATATCAAGAAGATTAATGAGAAACAATGAAGAGTGCTAGACTTCTGAAAAGAAAATGTCTGATGAAAATATGTTAGAAAGATATATATTTAATGTTTTAAAAATCAAATAATCCAATTAAAGGGCAACGATGAATAAAACTTAATTGTCTTCACATTTACTTCGCCTGGTTTGTCAATTAAGGACACCATGAAACAGACCCAAGCTAAATTACTAAATACTTAAAAATGATGACTGTAACTATTTTTTTAAATGCATAAAACACTATATAAATAAATACTAAATTATTTCATTTTAAAATCTTTAAAAACCCTTTACATATTATCCAGTTTAACCTCACATAGTTTAAAACGGTTAATCATAATTTATCATATTTACAGTTAATTTGAAGCGTGTAGAAACTGATTTTTAGATTCAGAAGGTAATTGAACAAAAATAAAAATATATAAAATAATTATTTAAATCTAAAGAAGAAGTTATAATTTATCAATTTATTTCTTTGTTTACTTATTTTCGTTTATGAGAGGCTGTGAGCAAACTGAACACGGAGGAAAAATACCAACGGGGAAAAATAGAAAATCATTATCATTTTAATTTAGAATAATTTCCAAGCAATGACATTTTTCATTTTCAAAACAACACTTGTATACCTGAAACTACCGATTCATTTCACACAACAAACCAGAACAATAAAAATTGTCCTGAAATTCTAACGCTTTTTAACATGCAAAGATTACATTTTATTAAAAGATGCAAACATTTGAAATTAAGCCCGAAACTTGGATACAGAATGTTCTTCAATATCAAATATTGCTGAAGGTATTCATCCCTGCTCCCTTTCCCCACTCGCTCTCCTTTCAATTCTTAAGAGGACAGTCAACCGTGTTAATTGTACACTGCAAGCACTTTTTCTCAAAAGTCATTCATTCTCCTCTGGGTGATTTGCTCTGCGGCTGCAGATAGTTGCAGCGATGACTGTTTGGCATAGTCAATTGTTGGTGGACCCATCATACTCTGTGCATTCAGGTATTGGATTTGACTTTGAGGAATGGAAGAGGATCAGGGAATGGAAATGAGGGAGAGAGATGATTTAGCAGCACAGAAGCAAGAGGGAGGAAAACAGAAGGGACTGTGGGGTGAGTCACAAACTGAGCTTTGTAGCCTCGTGCAGCCAATAGGGATCAATCTCAAGCCGCCTTGCAGCAAAAACACGAAAAAAACAAAACAAAACAAATCAAAGATTTAATAATCAATAACGAACAAACAACGCCTTATTTTAAATGTTTTGAAAAACAACCTCAAGCGGCCCGTACTCATGTCAATCAAATTTAAACGTCGATTGATACCTTTAACATCATTAGACCATCTAAATGACTGAGAGGCATTCTTTCTGGGGAAATCGGTAGAAAGCACGAAAAAAAAAGAAGAAGAACACGTGACCCTCCCCCACAGAGACAGAATGCATTCTGAATAATGATGAATAATCATTAACTGTGGCACGAGGGTGTTTCCTCTTCCTCTCATGTCTTCAGTGCACAGTCTCTCCAGGTCAAAGTTGAGTGGTTTGTCTCAGTGTTCTACCCCCCCCCCATCCCCCTCCCCCTCCCTCTCCAAAACCCCTCGATTCCCAGAATGCACCAGTGAGGAAACCACAACACCCCTTTTGTTCAGACGTAATGCAGGAAAACACACACATGATACCTCTCGTCCATATAGGAAGCGCCACAGAACCCGTGTTCAGCCTCAGATGAGTTCTGAAGCCTGATGCCCGCTGGCAACATCTTCATCATAGCAATTTTTTTGGGGGAAAGTTCAGCATGCATGAGAGTGTGTGGACCCCAACACTGCTGCACGCAAATAAGCCACGAGCAAATAAAACAAATCAGACCCTGAAACTTGAGCCCCCTCATCGAGAGTAACCTGGCGGGTATCCTGACGAGTTTCAGTTTACCCAAAGAGGTCAGGAAAGGGCAGGAGGGTAGAGAGGGAACGCGAGAACGCCTAGAAGGACATGAGAGACAGAGAGAGGGGGGAGAATATACAGAATGTGGGAGTGGCTCAGCATAGGGAGGTGGATATGAGGGGGAATCTGGGGGAAGGTGGGGGGGGTTCATGGAAATGCCTAAAGCGCATTCTGTTCAGCTCCAATGGAGGAACAACTACTGATCAGTGGCTGCAATTGAGGAGGAGTGGGGGGGGCAGGGGAACAGACCCTACATCTGATCAGGTACCTCGTGGGTCAGCAGCAGAAATCCAGAGGTCAGTGTACCATCCCAGCACCACCCCCTACCTTACTGGAAGACCACTCTGCACTTAATCTCCAAACCACCAGCTGCTACTGCCATTATGGAAAAACAAAATAAAACATGAACCTGATACCAACACACCCTGAAAAGCTTCGGTTTGGCTTACGACCTTCCCTGCCAGGAATAAATATCTATCTGGGGCTCTGTGCGTGTGACTGTGTGTGTGTGTGTGTGTGTGTGTGTGTAGGAAGGAGCCGGCGATCAATATGGACTGATATCCTGGATAGAAATAGCCTTCCTTTTCATCAGGCGGCCTTCGTCATCAACAGGCCCGGCAATCAATACAGGAAGCTGTAACGTGAGGGGATGGGGAAGCACAGAGTGGAGCCCCACCATCCTCCAGCCGCCCCTCTCCATGGCGACCACCAGCTATAGAATGGCTAATGACAGGACGCTTTAAATCAGGGGTGGCGGACACAGTGTGGCGTGGAGCTAATACCTAGCTTCCTTTTTTTTCCTTTTTTTTTTTGGTAAACACAGAAAAAACGAAGATGGGAGTGCACGGGAGAGGAAAGACTGAGCCAGGTGGAGAAAAGACTGACAAACAGAGCGGATAAAAAACCACCAACAGAGCCACTCTCCCGACGCCGATGCCCCCAGCCCTCCTCAACACGTCGTCATTAGCGGCCCTGACCCCTGAACCCAGCCCAACCCCCATCAAACACTTAAAAGCCTTCATGCTGCCCCTGCCTCAAATTAACAACATCCCGCACCCCTGATTATGACCAGAGCAAATATTTGATCTGGTGGAGGAAGCAGTAGATCATCCAGCTACATTTATCAGCACGAGAGGGGAAATGAACCTTGGTGAGGTGACTGGTGATAAAACCAGCAGAAACAGCTAAATGCTATTAGAAAAAAAAAAACTGACACAACTTAACATCCCAAAGTATAGTTCTCCAATCCATGGATGCAGATAAAAGCAGACTTAAACAAAAGATGGGGTAGTTTCATTCAAATATTTACAACATCAACAATTAGTAACAGGAGTAAAGCTTATCTTTTTAAACCCGCTAACTTTGTATCATAGTTACTGAATTAAGCTTCTTTGTTTCTTATTTTTTTCAGTTTAACACGCTGGAAACAGGAAGGGGCTGTTTTACTTTTTTTATATGACCTGTGACAGAATTTTTCTTAAACCCACGTGTTTGCGTGTCAAACAGGGCACATGTGGGTTATTAGAAGAGATTTCCTCAGATATAAAAGGGGAGAGATAAATGCAGCAGCGGGGAAACTGCAGATTTTAGGCATTTACTCTGATACTGCAGAGCCGAGCTCCAGATATTATCTTCTATTTGAGACGTTGTGGAAGAAATTGTTTTCTTATTTGCAACATCTATCACTTTGGCTGTTTCTCTAAAATTACTTCTTTCCAACTCAATTGTGACACCTTCTTTTTTTTTAATAGATGTTTATTTTCTTTATATAATTTTACTTTGTGTGAAATACAAAATAATACTGACTGATTCATAATTTTTTATTTACTTTGGTTAATCCATTTCCTAAGCAAAATTCTCCATTTGCATTTTTTCTTCTTTGACAGTAAAATTTAATATCTTTTTGCTGAAGCAATTCAAATAAATAAAAGCTGTAATTGCAAACATTAAACAATACAAACATTTTATTTACCCGATAAATCTTTTACATGATGTTTCTAAATGTTATGCTATGCTAAACATAAATATGACGTATCACACACGAATAATCTTTAATAGGATTTAAAATAAGACAAGCCAAAAATCTCAGTGATTGCTGAATGTTTTAAGTCAGTTTAGATTTTTTTATTAGATCAGCTAAATTGTAAGAAAAGCTAACTTCTGCCGTTGTCTTTTAATGTCCCAGTTACCAATCATATGGCCGTATGTGGCCGGCTCCTTGAAAGGCAGTCACATGACTCGTCTTTCTTCTTCGTTTGCTTTTTGTGAAGTAGGATGTGTTGGTGCTTGGTGTGGCTGCGTGGAGCAGTATGGCTGCAAGAGACAACAAAGCCTGATACTGGCTATCTGGAAGCAGAGATAGGTGGGGCCTGCATGCCAAACGGTGACACGGACCAGAGGTTAATCTCACCAGGGGCCCACTTTAACCTCAATACACAAAACACACACTCTCCAACATGCACGCATATACACTCCTAGACCTAAAAGATCGTATGGCCGTTAATGTTTAGATATCAACAACCTGGTATTTAAGAGTACCAAGTAAGAATGCGCGCACTCACAGGGGCTCCATAAATCGAACACATGCAGAGGGGGATTCAGGAGAATAACAGCAGCAAACTGTTCAACATTTCAAACTGATTACGCCGACAAAGGGCAAGCGGCCCCCTCCCCACCGCCACACACACCCAATCCTTTTGCCTTTTTGTCTTTAAAGAAATTCCTCTTCTTTTTCTTTTTTTTTTTCGTCTTATTTCAAGAATGTCCAGGGAGAGAACACCCCCTTATCTGCCAGCAAGATCCACCACACACCGCAGGATACTCGGTCCAGGTAGAGACGGGGGGCAGAGATAATGAAAAATCCTGTTAGCAGAATCACTAAGCAGAGAGGTATCAGGAAGTGAAGATGCTTAATTACTCTCTCGCCTTCCAAAAGGAAGTGACCGTATAGGAGAATAGACGTGGAGGCCTCCCAGGGAGGGAACTCGTGGTCGGGCAGGGACCCTCACTCACACACTAGCCCTCCCTTTTACCTCCCGCTCCTGTTTTTTTTTCCTTCAACTTCTCACTCATGTTTTTCCTCCTCGACCACCGCGAGCACTCTCCCTCCCCGACCCAGCACCACCACCCCTCACCCACACGTATTTTTCCCACATCCCTCCTCTTTCCCTCTCCTGAGGAAACTCCTCCTCTCACCCCCTTCCTCCTGTCCTCACACTCCCTTTTCCCTCCCCACACTTCTTACCTCCTTCTCTTATGCATATAGAGCTGCTGTTTTGCGGGAATAAATCTACTGTTTTCTTCCCGCTGCCTCTTTTTCCTTTACATTCATTGAGAGCAATTCTGCATGACCGTCTGTGTTGAGCCAGAATCTCTTTCTATGAAGCAGCAGCCTTCTTTTTGAGCAGGTCTGCTTGCTACTATGTAGCACATATGAAATATTTCAATCCTACCAGAAGGAATCCAACCTACAGATTTTGGCGTATGTTTACATTTCTGATGCTTTTAAAGCTTTGAATATAAACTGGCAGATTTTAATTCAATTGACCCGAATCCGAACATTTCCCCAGTACCTGGAATATCATCCAAATAGCTCAGGGCTGCTGGCAGAAGGGACAAACAGGGAGGAGCAGCCATAGATAATGACCGACTGACGTAATGAGCGTTGCAAAGAAATGGGCTGTTTTACATTCAGAGTGGTGATGTGCTCATGAATGTATATCCTTTTCTTTTTGTGCCAAATTACAGCTAATTTATTGTAAACATATAGATGTAAACATTGGGATGGAAATGCACAAAAGTAAACACGTGATCCATTGAATTGTAATAATGAAACAAGATGCATTTTTTGCAGATTTTTTTTTTTTAAAGGGCAGATCTTTTTTTTTTATCTTTTTCTCTTCATAATTCTCAAGACTGAAAAATTCAAGCTTCAGGAATTTAAAGATCTTTTTTATTCCCTTCCTACAGGAAAAAAAAACACAACAAGCATGGTCCCATGAAAAAGCAACAAAAAATTATAGCTCAAAAACTCTTTTTAAAATTTGATATAGAAGCATGTTTTTTTATGGTTTCTCAAATGAGGAGGTGAGATGTTTATTACTATTTTCAAACCACACTGTATCATTTCCACCCAACAACAAAACGGTATCACAGCTGTCTGCTCTGTCCTACAAGTTACAAACTGCTGATTCAGTCTGTGTTTATTTAACTCATAGTTGGCTCTTCAGACTGTTTCCCAGAACTTCTCTTACTCTCGCTATCCTGACCCACCTCTAAAAACCTCTCTGGCCAGCAGGGAAAAAGGGAAGTGAGGGGAATGAACGCAGAGCGTGGGGTTGATGGAGTCACGATGGGAACATATCAATCACAACGGATAATGTGGTGCGGCAGTGATGCACTTTCCTGAAACTCAGCTAGATATTGACCAAAAAAATTATAAACAGTTTTCAGGTGGAAGGGCTGAAAACAAACAAACATGATATTTCATATCATGTTTCAGAAGGTACTTGAGGATTTTATGTAACCTTCAACTTCTAATGTAATAGGGGGGGAAATTGTACTTTTTCTTGCTTAACTGCATTTTCCTGACAGTTGCTGCCAACATGTTAGTCCATCACTGATAATAGCAGCAATCAAACAGGAAGAGCTCTAACAGAGCCGGCCTGATGTGCAAAGATTACACTTCGATTTAAAGAGAATATGGCCATTCAATTCTATTCAGATCCCATGCACAAGGTGCCCTGACAACAAATATATATTTACACAGAGCAAAGGTCGGTCTGTTGTTTCAAAGTATTTCACCGGAAAAAGGAGGATTAATTAACACAAGTTAGAAATACCTTGGATATTTGAATCCAGCACATCTCGCAGAGATGGATAAAAGAAAGCAACCTCAAAGGTTTAATGTACGCAGATACTGGGAGAAATGTTTTATTCTTTGAGCTGGACACAGACTGAGGCCATGATGACAACAAGCAGCGAGAGAATTAACTTTGTCATGTTTTTCACGTGGAGACGCAATTCAAGTTTCTTAAAACTCATCGTGTGCCTGTCAAAATTAACAGATGCACCCATCTTTTCTTTTACCTCCATTGCATCTTACACATCTGACCCCAAGTCCAGCACAGCATCCCCTGAACCCAGAATTAAAAAAAAGGGGGGTGCAGATGAAATGGCGAAAATGCCTCTCCTCATCCTCTCTCCTTCCTTGTGGAGGATTTTAAAACCACTTAACAGGACCGTAAAAACTGCTGGAGGAGAGGGGCTGAAAGAGGGGAGGACCTCTCTGCTCTTTGTTTGCCGGGGAAGAAGTAAAAAAGAAGGCCTCTGAAACGACCACCCTCCACCCCCCCCCCAATATGCAACAATAAATCAACACTGGGGCTACATGTGGTGGAAAGCCTTCACAGAGAGAAAGATGCTGGTTCTGGACAGGGGGCCGTTAAAGACGCCAAAACATTCTGCACAGACGTTTTTAAAAGCACGCTCTCCGACATGTTGGCTGGCTCTGCTGTCCATACGGGGCCAAAGTGTGAGCCTAACCATGCCAGAGAGAGAGACCACAACACACAACATTTTTCTTTTCCTTTCCCTATACGCCGCGCATGGCGAGAGCTGATCGCATGTGGCCCAAAAGAGGAAAACTTTCCGTGTGTTTTCAAACCCGTGGACAACGTGTTATTACACAGTAACGCGTGGGGCAAAGCCAAAACATCCGGATGATACAAATGTAACAACCGACATAAGAGGGCCCGCGGGCATCAAAACGAGATCTGAATGAATCTCTTGAGTTTTGGGGGGGTAAAATGGGATAAAAACTAATCGATGAAAAGCAAATCCGGACGAGGACGACCATCCCAAAGCAGGGGTTTATTCCACGTGGGGGTGGTGGTTTGTGGGGGACTATTTATCTTTTTTTTTTGCAACTTACTTGGTGGACGAAAACATCCAGAGGGGGGTCGACCGGGCTTCCCTCGCTGTTGGTCATTGAGATAAATCCAAAGCCCATTCGGACGTTGAACCACTTGCAGAAGCCCGAACCGGACAGGATCTGGGGTCGGGTCCGGTCCTGCTGCTCCTCGGTGGACTTGGCGGGGTCTTCTCCGCCACCTTTACCCGGCCCTCCTGCAACAAAAGCACCGAGTCAGGGCACTTTTTTTTTCCTCCCCCCCCCCC